AGCCTTTGAAGTTGGGAATTTCGCACTCTTTTCCTGCCCTGTCGCCCGCGGGCCGGTAGCGGAGGTCGTCGTCGTCGTCGTCGCGGTCGTAGCCGTCGTCGCCGGCGGCGGGCACCGGCGTCCGCCCCCGGAGCCGCGCCGCGAGGTCCAACACCAACGGCGCGACGCCCGGCGGCGCCGCGCCGCGGAACGCGAGGTCCACGAGGCCCCGGCAGACGGCCTCGCACAGCGTCCGGAGCTGCGTCGCGCGCGCTCCCGGGTCGGCCGCGGCCGCGGCGACGGGCGCGCCGACGCGGCCCGCGAGCGCGTCGAGGACGTGCGCGGCGTCCCCGGCGCCGAAGGCCGCCAGCAGCTCGCCGTCGCCCGCCGGCGCGAGGCGCAGGAGCGCGGCGACGAGCGGCGCCGCCTCTATACGCGCCGCGGGCGGCGGCGGCGGCGGCGGCGTGCTCGACGTGCTCGACGTCGTGCTCGAGGCCCCGAGCATCGCGAGCGCGCCGCGGCTCCGGAGCGCCGTGAGCTGGCGCCGCACCTGGAAAAGGGTGGTTCAACGTCGATTCAACGTGGGTGTTCTGCGCGCGCGCGTTGCAAACACAACATCCACGCTTCAAGACTCTTCCGAGAGATGATCGCCCGTCCAAAAATCAGCCGAAACGAGTGGAAAACGACCGAGATATGAGCCTTTGAAGTTGGGAATTTCGCTCTCTTTTGCTGCCCTGCGCCGCACCTGGCCGGACTTGAGGCCCCGGAACAGGACCATGCGGATGCGCATCCACCGGCCGTAGAGCGAGATGTAGGTCCGAAAGATGGAAAACGTGGGCCCCTCCAACAGCGCGTTGAAGCGGCCGCTGCCCAACGTGAAGAGCCGCGTCTTCCGCTTCGCCTTGGCCGTGAACTGGCGGAGCACGGGCTCCTTGCCGCCGACGTTCATGGCGATGTCGTCGCCGAAGGAGTCGTTGGACTTGCGCACGAGCACGCGCTCGCTCCGCGACGGGTCCGCGCCGAAGAGGACGATGTAGCCCGTCTCGACGATGTACATGACGTCGTTGAGCGACAGGTTGCGGTAGACGATGATGTCGCTGTGCATGACGAGCTGCGGCTCCAACAAACGGGCCACGGCTATCACGAAGTGGTCCCGTTGATACAAGGTCTGCTGGATCTTCGTCCGCAGAAGGACGTCGTTGCGGTCGACGACGACGCGCGCGTGCGACACGCCCGTCTCGACGGACGCGTCGTCGACGTACTCGACGTCGTACTTCAGGTACGTCGGCACGTTGACGACGTGCGCCAGGCGCACGTCGCCCGCGGCGCCCGCGTCCGCGTCCGTGACGTCGCGCGACGGCTTCAGGGCCACGAGCGAGCCCGTGTTGACGCCGTAGGCGCGCTGCACCGTGTAGGCGAAGAAGGGGATGCGGTTGACGACGTTGCCTAAATTTTGGTGCGCGACGATGGCTTCTAAGCGCGGCGACAGCTTCTCCAACAGCGCGCGGTAGTAGTTGTCGCGGTAGACGGGCTCCGCGAGCATGATGTACTCGCGCAGTCGGAGCCGGAGCGCTATCGGAAAATTCTTCTTCGTCATGTAGTCGTTGAGGCTGTCGAAGGTGAGCTTGAACTCGTTCCCGACGGGGTCGAGGTTCGTCAGCGTGTTCGTCAGCTCCCCGAGCATGAAGGCCAGCTCCAGGCACCCCAGCAGCATGACGACGACGTTCAAAAGCAGCTCGACGTGCGTCTCCGCGGCGGACTCGCCCTGGAGGCACTGGAAGGCCCAGAGCACGGCCGCGAGGTACTGGGGCCAGACGCCGTCGGCCCAGAACTTGGAAGCCGTGAGCACCGTGGCCGGGCACTTGTCGTGGTGCTCGCCGCACTTGTCGAGGTGGATCGACGTCGCGAGACGCAAGCAGCACGCGGACCAGTGGATCGTCACGATCAATAACGTGATGTACTTGACGAGCGTCTGCGTG